GCCCTCCGCGCCGGGCTTCATTCGGGCTCATTTATCGGAATTCGCGCTTTAATCTCAGGTGGGCCCCGGGGCCGGGCGCTGCCCAGCGCACCGGGAGCGCTTGCCCGGCGGCCGCTGCCTCCCGCGCCCGTCAAATGTCAACATTTGTTCCCAATAAAAGAGTTATTGTTTCTGCAAAGCTGCCCAGCCACTGCCTTTGAAACTTGAAAAGAACTCCATCCACCTTTGTCTGATGCGAGGCAGGAGGGCGGAGCGGAGGGCGCAGCCTGGGGTGGTGGGGGCGCCCGCCGGGGCTCTCTCGGGAGGGGACAGAGGCCGCGTCCGCCCGGACTGCCCTCTGCGGGCGTTTATCAGCGGTCTGCAGACGGCACGGTGCAAGCCGCTGGGAAAAACTCAGGAGCGGAGCGCGCGCGAAACCCGCGTGCACTTTAGGGTCATTTAAAATTGCTTTAAACTATTTATTAAGGAGGCTAAAAGTAAAGTTGACCTTTTGTTTTTAAACGTTAGAGAATAAATGCGTCCTAAACTTCCACTGCTAGGTCGAGGTAAACAGAAAACAGTTTGAAAAAATTCTAAACCAATTTCCCTTTTTAGTCAAAGACAACCCTTCGCAAATTGAAATAACACACCGAATATTTAGAAAGCCTCCTCAAAGTAACCGTAAACCCGTGATCACCCACCGCACATTTTTCTTTAGTTACCCAGTGCATTGAAAACTCCAGGGAAAACATTTATTTTAACCCCACATTAAAGATAAGCAGATCTATTAAATATATGTTTTTAATTACTTTTGCAAAAAAAAAAAAATTTTTTAACATTTTGGAAACGCGTTAACCCAAGGCAGTCCTCGGGGACAACACACGACCCTCCGTGGTATGTGGGTATCCTGATAAACACCATTTGAATTTCTACAAATTGCCAAGGGGACATGTCCCTTTGATGTATTTTCAGACCTTTATGTAAGTGACAAATCCCTACAGATATTTTAAAGGCTTATTATAAGGAGAAGTGATCTATGACAATATAATTTTCCAGTTGCTGATGATCAGTTTCTATTGGCCGTAATGAAAGCACAGGCCAGGCCTTCCCTCTGGTCTGGCTGGAATGCTAGGGAGCTGGTGGCATTCGGGGATTTGTGCTGGGCCCTCAGCCAGTGGTGGTGGGCCAGGGAGAAGAAACTTCTCGCCCCAGTTTCATAGTGCAAACACCCCATTTGCACGCTTCACTCTGCTGCTACATCTGCATCTCCTGCAGACGGGTGTGTGGCTGGCACCCTCACCCCCCACTCTGCACACAGAACAGGCTTGTGTTCCCCCTCCTGAGGGCAGAGCGTCTCCTCTCTTTCTAAGAAAGGTAGACATGGAAGACGTTACAAGGGAGGATCATACCAGTAATGGAAGACAAATGGAGTGGGTTGCGAAATCTCTGTCGTCTGTTCTTCGCAATCCCAGGTACAAGGAAAGAGGAAGAATGTTTTTCTTTGTTTTTCTTTGGCTCCAAGATAATAAGGAAAAGATTTTTTTTTTAAAGGTTTCCCAAAGTAACTTTGTCCTATATGGAACTGAATACAAATCTAATATTCTTAAAGAAGCGACCCGGGCACACCTCGGTGGGAACACACAGCTCGGTGGGAACACACAGCTCGGTGGGAACACCCGGAGGGAGAGACAATCGCAGGGCTGCACAAGCACTCACGTTTTTGTGGGGATATAAATTGACAATTTATTGTGTGTAACTCCTGATCAATTATTAATCATTAGTGTCAACAACAGGGTTATAATTACCTTTGGTTATTTTAAGGAATATTTATTTTTTCATTTCTCTGATCCGGTAATTAGTTAATGCTCTTGAGTCATGAATGGAAGACCAGGCCCTGACGCCCCTCCCTTGGGATGACCTTTGGGGAAAACGCAGTCGCCGTCGCGTTCTCACAAATGCCCTCCTGCCTCCGCGGTACCACAGGGCACCTTTTTTTTTTCTCCTGCCGTAAATAATGTTTCCAGAGGAAAAGGGGAAAATGACAAACAAATAGAGCGCAGCTGGAATTAATAAGGCTGATCAAAGTTAGCGAGGCTGGGACAGCCCGCAGCCGCGCGGGTCCCAGGCCCGGGACAGTGGCGCAGTTCCTGCGTCCCCCTGCAAGATCAAGAGAAAGGCCGAAGCGGACGTTTACCCCGCGACATCTGCTCACGGGGGAGAGGTGGGCTGCGGGAGGGGGGGGGGACCCTGTTTTCAGGCCGAGAGGCGGAGCAGCGGCCTGGCTCGGGGACAGAAGGGCGCGGCGCCTTCGCCCAGCCCGGTCGCCCTCATCCCACCTGCTGCCCCGGGGGGCGGTGGGGGGATCCTTGGCCCTGAACGGTTGGCAGGTGAGTTAGCAGGTTAGCTGGGGACAGGTAGGGGGCCCGGGAGGCGCGGGCGGCCGATCTGTGCCGAGGAGCGCGGAGCGGAGCGGCAGCGTCGGCCCGGGAAGCAGCGGACGGAGGCGGCGGTTGTCGCCGCTGCAGCCCGCGCCTCCTGAGAGCCGGCGGCCCGAAGCGCCCGCGGCGCGCGAAGCCCCTCCAGGGTCGGTCCGAGCTCGCGCGCTTTGCTGCGGCCCAGCTGCCACCGCCTCTATAGGGAACTGTTTTCCACGCCCTGCTGGGGACGCCCCTCAGCGGAAACCCCCAGACCCGCTTCTGCCCTGCGTCCCCCCAGCAGCGCCGCCACGCGTGCGCTTCTCTGGTCGCATCGAAGTCCTAAAGGCAGCGACCCGGCCTTGGGCGAC